TTTTCTCAATCATTAATAGTTCAAAAATACAGACAAATAATTAAGATTATTCATTTGAAAAAGATTCTTCATACAATTAATTCTGTCATAGAACATTTTGTTTCTATTAATAATAAGACTAAAAATATCATTTAATATCAATATGTTAAGATAGAGAAACTAATATTTACTATAGAAAGTAAGAGAAAGACTAAAATAGATTTGATAATTTGATCAATATTTAAATTGTTTTCTCATTAATGTTATGTTTATGTTTAGATAAAACTCGTTTAATTCACATATTTCAGAATCAAATTTCATCGCTTGTTATCGATTTTTTTCAAAATAAAAAGCCAACTTTAACAGAATATAGCAATGAAGATATGTTTGAATGCATTTTAAATATATTCTCTAAGTTACAATATTTCCATTTTGGCCAATCTCCATTTCGGTATCAACGATTGTGGTTTACAATACCTCCAACTATTTTCTCTTCAACATTGTTAGAATTGCATGTCAGTTTGGAGTCTTTTATCGATTGTCTTTATTTACTTGATGGTCGTTTCGATTCACTTCAAAGACTTTCTGTTAATATTAATCGCATTTTATCTCCCGAGAGAATAATTGATAATAAAGTAAATTACACAACTTAATATCTAATATATTCAAATAAATTGATTTATTTTTTTAGAAACAATTACGCAATCTAAAACTTTTTTCGTTTCATTGTAAACAAGATACAGATAAGTATAATGAATTGATTGTGCCACTTCTACATCGAATGTCAAATCTCGAAGAACTTGACTTACATCTTGTAGTGTATTGTGAGAAAAGATTTATTGATGGTTATGATTTGAAATACAATATTATCAATAATTTATTACGATTAAATAAATTTATATTTAACATACGATCACGTCTGTCTCTAAACGATAAAATTTATTTATCTTCAAATGAAGATTGTCAACTTTCATTTAATGGTTTTAAAAATAATAAAATTATTTCATGTGTTGATTATTTCTCAAATCGCAAACAAGGTCAATGTCATATTTATTCATATCCATATCAAGCAACACGGTATGATTCTATTACAAATAATTTTCCAGATGGATTATTTAAATGTGTTCACAAAGTCTCATTATATGACGAACGTCCTTTCGAATATGAATTCTTTTTGAAAATTGCTAAATCTTTTCCATTTATGAGAAAATTAACTGTAAACAATGATAAACCACAGAAGAACAAATTTGATGAACAATCAAAAGATGATAATCGACATTTATCAATCATTCAATATCCTTATCTTACTCATCTTGATCTGGATTTTGCTCATGAAGATTATGTCGAACAATTTCTACTGGATACAAAAACATATTTACCAGCAAGATTCAAACTGGAAGTCGACTATCAATCTATTGAAAAGGTGACACACAATTTTACAAGAGATGCAACTCGAAACAATTGTGCCAAATTGATTTTTTTATATGTACCTTCTGAAATTCCAATTCGACAACAGCTGAAAGACTATTTTCCTTATACGATAATTGATTCTTGATAATTAATGTAAATAAAACTGGTTAGAAGTAGATGGATTAATAGAGAATTAAAGATGTGAACAACAGAATTAAAGAGAAATGACTTGTTCTACATGCTATTTGAGAGAAAAAGACTTGAAGAATCTCAGAATGATTTCATATGAAAACGTATCTATTTAGAAATACAAAAGAAAAATTTCGAAGATTTTCGTTATTATTTAGATACTCGTTTCCATGCTCTGCTCAATAGTTTAGATCTGTTTGTGGTGTTTCTATACCAATTACAGGTGTAAAAAGAGTTGGGGTGTGGTTATTGGTGAATATTAATGTGGATGTAAGAGATGAAACCAATCCACATACTAACGCTGTCATCTAGATTCACATCCTCATCGAGATTTACAAGATCAGTCGCAGCTATATCCACTAAATTTAAATAAAATACGTTTTGTGATAATGAGATGTTATACAAATAAAAACAATTTCTTCATCTGTTTATAAGCTTCAAGTCAGGAGAATATATTGAAATTCGTTTTGCTAGTTGCATTGTTTTTGAAGATTGTTCTTCTGTAATTGTTCTATTTGCAATGTTTTCGAAACTGTATATAAGGTTTTTTCAAAAAGAAATTGAAAATTTCTTTTTATTTCTTAACCAAAATGATTCTTTTCCTCCATATGCGCATAAAAGATGTTTTTTCCAAATATTTAAAAAGATAAAATCATTATTTCGAATTCGATCGTGAATTAACGACTGCTATGTAAAGATTAAGAGATTGTAGATAAGAAGCTAAAATTAAAATCGGTAACAAATAATCTGATTCAATTCGATTTCGAACTGAAATTTTGAAAACAATATTCAAAATAAATTGAGTTAAAACTATGATCGAATCCATATTAAAAGAAGATTTGTTTTTCTCCTAATTGAATACAATTCATAGTAAACTTCGAATTATCCATTTGAATTTTCGATTTTATGTCAATGATTTCACATCATATTCTATTACATAAAATCCATATATGTAAATGATACTTCACAACTGAAATCAGACAGTTTATTAAACAAATATTGATTAAGAATATCAATGAATATGAGTTTTAAGATTTCGAGAGTTTATTTCAATTTCAAAAAATTTTCATTCAAGTGTTGAGGAACTATTTCAAAATGAAATATATCTCATGAATAGAACATAAAAAAAAGGAAAATTCGTTTTATCGTGATTGTTTCGTTTGTATGGTAACGAGCATATTCAACACGTATGGTTATACTTTATTTGGGCGGTTTATACAAAAAAATGAGCAAAATTCATTCGTCAATCAACATATAAAAGGGAGTATATATATACGCCCGGAAAAAAATAGTTAGAGTCGGTTTTTCGAAGATATTGTCACTAAAAAAACATATTTTTTAATAATAATTACATATTCTGAAAGCCCATGGAGTTTTCTAT